GGGCCGGCAGGCTATTTGGCGCAGGCTCCTAATTTATGGCGAGGGGCGGCTCTCGGTCTTAGGGTTGGGCGGGTGACGAACCAGCCCTCTTTGGGTAACGGAGAGGGCGTGAGGCGGCTCAACTAGCAGACCCGCTTCCGGTGGAGCTAGGTGGCGAACGCGCGTGGAGCGTGTCGCTTGGAGGTATCTACAGCCTCGGCCTCGCGGGGCGGAAGCACCGTCGGGAGCGGAGGGGGGGGAAGGTCGTCAGGGATCGCTCAGGGCGGCACGCAGGGTGGCACGCAAGCGTCCAGGGGGGCGGCTCCGGGCCTGCCCTTTGGAGTGCTCCTCTCGGCAACTCTCTCCCAATCTGGGCAACTCTCGGCGAATCGCTGCCGATCTGTGCGAATCTGTGCGAATCTGTGCGAATCTGTGCGAGTCTGCGCGAGTCTGCGCGAGTCTGCGCGAGTCTGCGCGAGTCTGCGCGAGTCTGCGCGAGCAGGGAGGAGGGCGGGCGCGCCGTTCGTGCGAAACTGCAAGCCTCAGCCGCGCCGCCTCCGCCCGCAGCGCCGCCACCTATCCATGTAGCCAGACGTGTGAAACAGGCGCTGGCCACACTGCCAGCCTCGGCCCGCAGCGCCGCCACCTCGGTCCGCAGCGCTGCCGACTCGTGCAAGGGCACGGAGTCGGCGAAGGCGGCCGGGTCGGCGGTAGCGGCAGCGAGGGTGGCGGCAGCGCGGAAACCAGCAGCAGGGTCGGCGGTAGCGGCAGCGAGGGTGGCGGGTGCAGCGGCGGCGGTGTCGGCGGCGGGAGCGGCAGCAGCGGCAGAAGCGGGAGCAGCGGCAGCGGCGCCAGAGCGGTGGTGAGCGCTCGCAGCCCACGCCCCTCCGCCCTCCTCCCTCTCGGCAGCGGCTCGCCTCCGCCAGCGGCGAAGGAGCCGCCGCCGGGCGCACATCGTAGTGAAAGCGCCGCCGCAGCCGTGCTCGCAGATGGCGCAGAGTGCGTCTGCAGCCCAGCAGGCGACTTCGCGCTCGCCCGCCAGCGCCGCGAGGAGGGCCGGCGCGGAAGGGAGAACTGCGCGACAGCCCGCCGCGCTCCTCGCCGCGAGGGCGAGCGCCGAGATTGACCAGCCGCACAACACCGGGTCGTCGCTGCCGGCCGCCACTGCGAGCGCGCGCATGCACCGTCCATGGATAAGCAGCGCGGGCTCGTGCTTGGCGACGCTCCGCAGGGCCATTGCCGCCGAGACCCGGCAATCGGCTGCTCCGCCCGACACGGCTCGTGTGAGCGGCGCGAGAGAGCGAGCGCCGCGAGGCGGTGGCTGCCAGCGGCGCCGAAGCGCCTCAGATAGGTGCGCCAGGTCCTGGGCCGACGCGTCGAGACTACAGGGGGGCTCCAGTCTGGACCAAGCTCGCATGAAGGCTCAAACCGCGAGGGAATAAAATTATCCCGGCGCAAGGCGCGCGATACACACAAAGACACACACATAAATCCGACGAGCGCGCCGCCCTGACGGTGCACCGAGCTCCTGACTGTTCTTTTTTATATTATACCAAAAGCTAGGCCCACAACGCCCTCTATGTTGGGTCAAGGGCGCCTAGAAGAAGGCGCCGCCCCCCGAAGAGGAATGCCACCCGTACCCCGAGCCCCCCTCAACCCTCAGCCCTCGGCACTCGCACTCTCGCACCCCATGTCGCACTCGAGCCCTCAGTTGTCGAGCGACGCCATCTGCGCGAAGTGCGCGCGCAGCTCGGCCAGCGGCATGTTGCGGCTCTTCTTCTCGCCGAGCGCGCGCAGGCTGACCGCCCCCGCCGCCGCCTCGCGCGCGCCGACCACCGCGACGTAGTTGAAGCAGCGCCGCTGGCTCTCCTTGATCTTGTAGCGCAGGTCGCCGTCGCTCACGTCGAGCTCCACCGCGAAACCGTCGCCGCGCAGCGCGGCGTGCACCTCCGCCACCGCGGCGCGCTGGGCCTCGTCGCCGGCGTGCACCGGCACGACCAGCACCTGCCGCGGCGACAGCCAAAAGGGCCAGCGTCCCTGGTAGCGCTCCGAGAGCACGGCCATCATCCGCTCAATCGATCCGAGCACCGCGCGGTGGATCATCACCGGGGCGCGGCGCCGCCCGCCGGCGTCGACGAAGAGGAGGCCGAAGCGGCGCGGCATCTGAAAGTCGAGCTGCACCGACGCGAGCTGCAGCCAGCGGCCCGCCGCGTCCTGCACTTTGCAATCGATCTTCGGCCCGTAAAAGGCGCCGCCGCCCTCGTCCACGCTCCACTCGTCGCCCGCAAAGTCGCGGAGCGCCTCGCGGAGCGCGCGCTCGGCCAGCTCCCACAGCTCGTCGTTGCCGT